TATCTTCTGTGTCTGTGTTAATTGGTTTCCCTTTTCTTTGTTGAAGAGGGTCTGTGCAATCCTTCTGCCTAGTCCGCCATCTTGCCCCGCCGCCCTGTGACTCTTCATCCACATTTTTAAGGTCAGCTCTACTCAAGGAGGCAGCTATTCCCCAGTTGTATTTTGAGTGTCTTTCAACCTGAAGGGATCATCTTCCAGCTCTATGTCAGACAGTGGTTCAGGGCCATTCATAAGGTTTTCCAGTAATATATCAGACAGTGTTTCCCTACTATTTATAAGGCTTTCACTGGCCATATCTCTGAGAGGTGAATGGCCCCTTCCTCTTCCAAGTCTCTTAGTCTGGAAGCTCCACTGAAACCTGTCTACCACAGGTGACCCTGGTGATATTTGAAATACTGATGATATAGCCTCCAGCCTCACACCAACACACAAGCCACTAGAGTACAACAAACTGACCAATGAGTGGTGTAATACAGGAATACTAATATTGTTCAAATGATTTTATGAGGACTGAATGTATTATCACATAAAAAGTGCTTAGAATAGTCCCTGGCACATAAAAAAGTACTCAATGAATAATAGCTTTAATTCAATATGCTCTAGATGTTGTGAGATGACAGAGCTACACCCTCTCCTGCCTGGAGATAGATGACAGAGAATGGAGGAAGCAGGGGATGTGGGAGGTCGGGGAGTGTTTAGTTGAGTGCACCTCAACTAAGTCATAAAATATTACTGAGAATTTGTTAAAAAGTAAGGGGAAGGGAAAATCATTTTAAACAGAGGACAACATGAGAAAAAGAAATTTGCACCCTGAGTCCAGAAGGACTAGATGGTGCCCAAAATAGGAGATCCTAGATAGAGTGGGAGAAAAATATGGAACAAAACTCAGTATCATAACAGAAAGACCAGGCTTACTGGTTTGCTCAAGGAGCTCTGGTAGCATAATGGGTAAGGCATTTTGCTGCTAACTGGAAAGTTGGTGGTTCAAACCCACCAGCTGCTCTACAGAAGGAAGATGAGACAATCTACTTCTGTAAAGATTTACAGCCTTGGTAACCCAATGTGGGTTCCTATGAGTCAGAATTGACTTAGTGGCAATGTGTAGTGGGTGAATGGTTTGGTACAGACTGGTGAAACCCCCAAGACTATGGTCCCTAGTCACCCTTCAGGCCTGGAATTGAACTAATTCCTGTGACTTCCAGCTAGACAATATCAGGCATATAAAGTGAATTTTACACTCCTTAGAGCAATCAACCATGGGAGATCAGAAGGGCAGTATTTGCACAGGGAGATAACTCAGAGGTCTGGAATACATAGTAAGGAAGGGCACAGGGAAAAGGTAACAACAAGGAGGAAGTGGGAAGAGAGTGGTTACATTATGGGGATTGCAATCAATCATGAATCCAATCATGAAGCAAAATGTGTGTGAACAGTTGTGTGGAAAATAAATTTACTCTGTAAACTTTTACTCAAATTACAATTAAAAAAAAATGAGGAAAATGAGTTATTTCATTATTTTAAAATATGCACCACATTCTTCACAACATTTTTTAAAAATAAATGAATGCTGTGCACAACAAACCTGTCTTGGAAAAAAAAAGAAATTTTCATTGATGTTTTGAAAATTTGCTAGGCCTAGATTATAGAAAGTGCAATACTTCAGTTATAGATTTTAAACTTGTTCCTATATGCAGGGAGCTCTGGTGACACCATGAGTTAGGCATTTGACTGCTAACCAAAAGGTCTGCAATTTAAATCCAACAGTTGCTTCTCAGAAGAAAGATAAGACAGTCTACTTCTGTAAAGATTTACAGCCCTGGAAATCCTGTGGGGTGGTTCTAGTCTGTCTTATAGGCTTGCTCACTGACAGTGCATTTGGTTTGGATTTGGTTTCCTGTATGCAAGGTGTGTGATTTCACATGCCATTGAACCATTTAAGTAATTAGTTAAGTCTCTTTGAGATGGCTTTTCAAGGTATGAGAAGGAATATGAACTGGAGGACAATCTAGAAAACCTAATTAAAAGATTTTGACAACAGCTCAGATAACAATGATCGAGACATGTACCAGAATCAAGAAAGAATGGACAGGATTGGGCAAGTGCATGATGTATTTAGGAGGGAAATTCAGTAGGATGAGGAGAAGGATTCAAGAACAACTTTCATGTTTTTTCTTGGTTTATTTAGGGTGGATGATGGTACTATCAATGGAGGGAGTGTAAGGAAAGTAACAACTTTAGAGAAGGTTGTGATGAGCTCTGTGTTTTATATAGTGAATGTTTGCTGTCTATAGCCTAGAGATATGGTTTGGCTGGTTACCAGCATTGCACGTGTGAGAGGTTGCTCAGGCAGAGGGTGAAGAGTGAGGTGTAGGTAGGCAGAGAGAACCTAGGTGTGTGTTAACTGATTTTAAATTTTACTAAGCTCAAATTTCCTATAAAAAAAGGAGCTCTGGTGATGTAGTGGATAAGATATATGGTTGCTAACCAGAAGTTCAGTGGTTCAAACCTACCATCTGATCAGCAGGAGGAAGATGAGGCAATCTACTTCTATAAAGATTTACAGGTTTGAAAACTCAATGGGGGTTACTATGAGTTGGAATTGACTCAATGTATTGTTATTTTTTTAAAATTGTCTTATACATTTAACAGAGAAAAAGTGTATTAGCAATATGTTCTCAGTAGCTATTAAGTTGGCTCCAACTCATAGAGACCCCATTTCCAGTAGAATGAAATATTGCCTGGTTCTGTGCCATCTTCACAATTGTTGGTATACTTAAGAATATTGTTGTGGCCACTGTGTATTTCGTGTGTCTTCCAACCTAATGGGCCCATCTTCCAGCACTGTAGCACAGTATTCTCTTGTGATCCATAGAGTTTTCACTGGCTGATTTTGAGAAGTAGATTGCCAGGTCTTTCTTCCTAATCTGTTTTAGTCTGGAAGTCCCACTGAAACCTGCCCATTATGGGTGACCCTACTGGTATTTGAGATACTAGTGTGGTATAGCTTCCAGCTTCAAAGCAACATGCAAGCCTCCAAAGTAAGGCAAGCTGACACATGGGTGGTGTGCTAACAATATACCAAAACCAAACCAAACTCATTGCCCTCAAGTCGATTCCCACTCATAGCAACTCACTTTGGGTTTCCAAGGCAGTAAATCTTTATGGAAGTAAATTGCCCAGTCTTCCTTCCATGGAGTGGTTGGTGGGTTTGAACTGCCAGCCTTCTGGTTAGCAGTCAAATGCCTTATGCACTACGCCACCAGAGCCCTTTGTGCAGACAATATAGCCTTCCCATATTCCTCTACTTAGACAAGCTAATGACATGGGGGGGAGGGAGAAAAAAAAAAGGATTTTTTAAAAGAAAGAAAATATCTTTAAAAGTGCAATGATAAAGTCTCCTTGGAGAAATGGCAACCAGACTATGAATTACTGTGACAGTATGTTTCCCTGAATTAGACATGAATCTGTCTTAAGTTTTATCTTTCAAGAATATTCTTTTCAATTTTGAATTATTTCCTTTTGGGCACTGATTCCTTTGTATCACCAAAATGGCAGAGGTTTTTTCAAGATTCTTTTTTAATTAACCCAAAGTTGGATCTACTGACTACTAGGACATTTATGATGGCACAGGTTATTGTGGAAAAAGTACAAATTTTGGAGTCAGACCAGAATTTTAATTATGAATCTGCTGCTTATTATCTATAGATACTTGAGCAAATTAGTGCCCTCTTTGAACCTTAATTTCTTCAGTTATAAAATGAGGGTAATAATGTCTACTGACTTATACAAAAGATTAAATTAAATAATAGGTAAGAAGCATCTGCCATATAGTTAATGCTTCATGTCCTTGGATGGTGCCATTTATTCTCTGGACTGTCAGTTGAAATGTTGGAGATTCCAGTCCACACATAGGCATCTCAAGAGAAAGGCCCAGCATCTACTTCCAAAAAATCAGCCATTGAAAACCCTGTGGAGCACAATTCTACTCTGACACACATGTGATTGCCAGCAGTTAGAATTTATTAGATAGGAACTGGTATATATAACTAACATTACTACTGCTATTATTATTATTATTCCAAATATTATTCTGAAATATTCTGCTATTATTATTTTTCATAAATTTGTACTTTAATTGGGAATAAACGTATAACTCATTTGTTAATGATAACAGGAAATACTAATATAGTGTTTACAATGTGTCAAGCAGGAGACCTGGTGGCACAATGGTTAAAGCATTCAGTTGCTAACTGAAAGGTTGACCATACAAACCCACCAGCCACTCCATGGGAGAAAGATGTGGCAGTCTGCTTCCAGCCTGGGAAAACACTATAGAGCACTTCTACTCTGTCTTGTAGGGTTCTTATGAGTTGGAATTGACTCGATGGCAGTGGTTTGTTTTGTCTTTTTTTGTGTGTACCAAGCACATATTACTGTTCTAACACTTTACATCTATTAACTGATTTGATCCTCATAGCACTGTGAGTTAGTCTCTAGTATCATGCCTATTCTACAGATGAGGACACTGAGGTTCAGAAAGTAGTTAACTAGCCAAAGATTACACAGTTTTAGGTGTCAAAACTAGTGCTATAGATTCCTGTGAATTTCTTTCTACATTCTCTTCCAATGCAATCTTGATCTCAGGCTTCTCCTGTCCATATTTGGATGTTTTCAGAATATCTGTAGAGCATATGTCAGCATGGTTAACAGAATTTTCTAACATTAGCTAATATGTTTTTAAATTTTGTTTTAATGCCCCATTAGCTGCGTGATATTCTAAACAATGTCTGTCTCTTTCTAATTTCAGCCTGTGAGGTTGAAGCGGGGAAAGTATACCAGGTATCCTCAAAAGAACATATCCAGCCTTTCAAAGAAAACATGGAACAATTTATTATTCAAGGTAAATTCCAAAGGAATGTGTTGTTGTTTTTCTCTTCTCAGCAGAAAGATAGAAAGCATTAAAAAGAAAAAAAAAAAAAACCCATGGGTTTAAAAGGGATTATTTTGACATTACTGAAAACAGTGTAATTTAATCGTGAGTCACACAGTTGTGAGAGAGTAACAATTTTCTAAATATGCTATTTTGTGCTCTTAAATAATGCTCATTATTATGTTTTTCCATGACAGAAAATACAATAAATATCATTTGAAATACTTCATACTTAAAAAAACATTAAAATTTTGTGCTTTTTGTCTTAGAGATTCTTTTAAGTTTCACCTATGTTTATTACCTTAGTTCAATATGGTATGTATTTGCTTTGTGAAAACATTGACCCAAAAGAACAAAGTATGTTGATATTTTTAGATATTGAAAAATTATTTCCAAAGACAGGCATATGAGCTGTACATTTACATTAGGTAGGTACACACCTTGGAGAGATCAATCATGGGAGAATAGAAGGGCTGTATATGCACAGGGAGACCTGAGGTGGTGGGGGAAGGAGTGCATGGGAGGGAAGGGCACAGAGAAGAGGTTAACTATAGGGAGTAAGGGGGAAGAGAGCTGTTGCATTTGGGGAAATTGTAGTCAATGTCATGAAACAAAGTATATATGAACTGCTGTACAGAAAATGAATTTGCTCTGTAAACTTTCACCCAAATCATAATAAAAATTCAAAATATATATAGCATGTATTTTTTTGTGTAGGATACATTAATAACTCTGGATATTTCACATTTTTCTTTCAGGGAGCTTAAAACTTTATAAATATTATATCACTGATTTTTGCTATATTCTTCTGAGATAAGCAGGGATGCAAAAATTTCATAAAATACTAAAAAAAAAAAAGATTTTTTTCAAGAGGAATATGTCTAAAAGTCTTGCTGTGTGAAATGCTGAAACTTATAATTATATCAAAGCATTTACTACTCAAAATAATTCAGCCTTGGAATGTTAAATCTCTTCTAAAGATCAGATTTGTATCATGCCATTCCCTGGGAAAGTTCTTGCTCTTTCAGGAATTCTGTCAGAGACTGACATGCCATGAGACTGATGCCTAAGTAGCACTCTGAATTTGGTTCCATTTTCTTTTTTACCAGTTGCCATTGAGTCAAATCTGACTCACAGTAACCCCCATATGTGTCAGAATAGTACTGTGCTCTGTAGGTTTTCAGTGGCTAATTTTTAGAAGTAGATAACCAGGCTTTCTTCCAAGGGACTTCTGAATATAATGCATTCTCCAGCCTTTTGGTTAGCAACTGAGGTGAGAGCATTAACTTTTGCAACCCTCCAGGGATTCACATTTTTTTTTTATCCATTCTGCTGTCAGTGGGAATTAATGTTTCTGCCTTTTGGGTATTGCGAATAGTGCTGCAATAAGCATTGGGCTACAAGTATGTGCTTGAGTCTCTACTTTCAAGTTATTTGTGTATATACCTTGGAGTGGAATTGCTGGGTCATGTGGTAGTTCTGTTTTTAGTTGTTTGAGGAACCACCACATTGTTTTCTGCAATGGCTTCTACCATTTTGCATTCCTATCAGCAACAGACAAGGGTTCCAGTTTCCCCACATTTTTACCAACATTTATTATTTTCAGGATTTTTTTTTTTTTTTTTTAATCTTAGCCAACCTAATGGGAGGGAAGTGTTATCTCATTATGGTTTTGATTTGCATCTCTCTGATGTCTAAAGACAGGAGCTCTGGTGGCATAATGCCTAAGGCATTTGACTGCTAACCAGAAGGCTGGTGGTTTGAACCCACCAGCCACTCCTTGGAAGGAAGGTTGGACAATTTACTTACATAGTGTTATCGCCTCAGAAACCCAAGGAGGGGTCACTATGAGCCAGAACCGACTCCATGGCAGTGAGTTTGGTTTGGCTTGGATGGCTAATGAGGCTGAACATCTTTTCCTGTGTCCTGTGTATGGTAACAATTTGAATGTCATCTTTGGTGAAATGTCTTTTCAAGCCCTTTGCCTATGTTATGATTGTCTTTTTGCTCTTAAGATGTCAATGTTTTATATGGAATTTGGTTATTCGAATTCTTTTTGGATATATGATCCAATATATTCTCCCAGTTAATAGCTTGTCTTGGCACTTTTTTGTTACTCTTTTGATGAACAAAGTTTTTAATTTTTATGAGGTCCTATTTTGTGTTTTGTCTTTTGCTTTTTGTGCTTTTGTTATTATATTAGATAAACCATTGTTAAAAGCTCAGCCTGGCAGTGTTGCCCCTCCTTTTTCTTCTAATAATTTTATGGTTTTAGTTTGCATATTTAAGTCTTAATTTTGAATTTGTTTTTGTGTATGGTGTGAGACAAGAGTGCTGTTTTATTTTTCTGCATGTGGAAATCCAAGTTTCCCAGCACCATTTATTGAAGAGACTTTTCTTTCCCCATCAAGTGGACTTACCACCTTTGCCAAAAATCAGTTGCCCGTACAGTGTAGGTTTATTTCTCAACTCTTAATTCCATTCCATTGGTCTGTGTGTCTATTGTTATAACAGTACCATGCTATTTCAGTCACGGTAGCTGTATAATATATTTTAAAATCAGGAAGTGTGAGTCCTCCTACTTTATTGTTTTCTTTCAATATTCCTTTAGTTATTTGAGCCTCGTGCCATTCCATATAAAGTTGAAGATTGGTTTTTCTATTTCTGTAAAGAAGGCTGCTGGTATTTTGATTGGGATTGCACTGAATCTATAGATGGCTTTGAACAGTATTGAAATCATAACAATATTAAGTCTTTCAGTCCATGAACATGGAATATATTTCCATTTATGTAAGTCTTCTTTAATCTCTTTCAGTCGTGTTTTATAGTTTTAATGGTGTAAGTCCTTCATGTCCCTGGTTAGATTTATTCCTAGATATTTTATTCTCTTTGATGCTATTTTAAATGGAATTATTTCCTAATTTCTCTGTCATATTTTTCATTGCTGGTATATAGAAACTCAACTGATTTTTGTTTGTTGATCTTGTATCTTGTAACTTTGCTAAATTTCTCTATTAGCTTTAGAAGTTTTCTTGTGAACTCTGGGATTTTCGATATATAGAATCATATCATTTACAAATAGAGATAATTTACTGCTTTTCCAATCTGAATACCTTTTATTTTTCTTGTGTTAATGGTTTGGTTAGGACTTGTAATACAGTGCTGAATAGAAAAGTGTTGTAAGTAGGCACCCTTGTTTCTGATTTCAAGGGAAATGCTCTCAATATTTCTCCATTATGTCTAATATTGGCTATGGGTTTTTCATCTGTGCCTTGAATCATATTGACAGATTACCCTTCTATTCCAGTCTTCTTGAGGGTGTTCATCAAGAAAGGGTGGTATGTTTTATTAAATACTTTTTCTACTTCTGCAGAGGTGATCATGTGATTCTTTTCTATTGCTCTATTCCTGTGGTATATTATGTCAATTAGGAGCCCTGATTAGGAGCCCTATAGTGCTTAAAATGCTTGGCTGCTAACCAAAATGTTGGCATTTCAAACCCAGAAGCTTCTTCAAGGGAGAAAGATGTGGCAGTGAACTTCTGTAAAAGATTTATAGCCTTAGAAGCCTTATGGAGCAGTTCTATTCTGTTTAGTATGATCACTCTAAGTTTGGATTAACTTCATGGCAATGGGTTTGTATTACATTAACTGATTTTCTTATGTTGAACCATCTCTGCATTCCTGGAATAAACCCACTTGGTCATGGTGTATTTAGTATTTCATTGAGGATTTTTACATAAGAGATATTGACCTGGAGTTTTCTTTTTTTTTTCTTTTATCTTTCTCTGGTTTTTGGTTATATGTTTGCTTCATAGAACAAATTAGGGAATATTCCTTTTTTCTCTATCTTTTTGAAGAATTTAAACAGTATTGGTGTCACTTCTGTAAATGTTTGGTAGAATATTCGAGTGAAGCCATCTGGTTCAGGACTTTTTTTGTTGTGAGTTTTTTATTCACTGATTTGATCTCTTCTCTTGTTATGAAAGTGTTGAGATTTTTTATTTCTTCTTGACTCAATTTGGATAGGTTGTGTACTTCAAGGAATTTGTCCATTTCATCTTTGTTATCCAGTTTGTTGCCATGTAGTTGTTTATAATATTCTGTCATAGTTCTCTTTATTTCTTCCAAGTCAGCTATAATGTCTCGTCTTTCATTTTTTATTTTGGTTGTTTGTATTTTTTCTCTTAATTGACAGTCTAGCTAAAGGTTTGTCAATTTTACTCATCTTTTCAAATAACTAACTTCTGGTTTTATTGATTCTCTGTATTTGTTTATCTGTTTCAGTTTTATTTATCTATGCTTTTATCTGTGTTATTTCCATTTTTTTTTTTTTTTTTCTGATAGATTTAGGCTTAGTTTGCTCTTTTCTTTCTAGTTCCAAGAGTTGTCAAAGTAAGGTGTTGATTCGAGATCTTTCTTCTTTCTTCATGTAGGCATTAACTTTCCCTGTGAGTACTGCCTTCTCTGCCACCCAAAGTTTTTGTGTGTTGTGCTTTCATTTTCATTTGACTGTAGGAAGTTTGTGATTTCTCTCATGATTTCTTCCTTGACACATGCATGGTTTAATTGTGTGTTGTTTAATTTAAACACAAATGTTTGTGTCTTTTCCCAGGTTTTCCCCCTCCCCCTATTATTGATTTCTAGCTTCACTCCACTGTGATTAGAGAAAATATTTTGCACGATTTCAATTTTTTTAATATATGTATATCAGGACTTGCTTTGTGACCTAACATATGGTCTATCCTACAGAATAATCCATGTGCACTGGAGGAGGATATATATCGTACTGTTTTTGAGTGTTCCATATATGTCTGTTAAGTCGAGTTGGTTTATAATTTAATTCAAGACCTCTGTTTCCTTATTGATTATCTTTCTAGATGTTCTGTTCAGTATTGAAAGTGGTGTATTGAATCTCCAACTATTAGTGTAGTACTCTCTATTTCCCCCTTTAATTCTATCAATGTTGGC